AAAGAGTATTAAGGTCAAGTACATGATAATTTCACTCAGTCTCCATAATTTTGAAGCTCAAGGGCTTCCCACACCTGAAGCAGTATCTGCAGTTTGCCCTTACTGCTCAGCTGGCCAGTATTAGGGGTTGAATTTGCAACACTAAAAAAATACCATATCTGCCTCCTACATGGGAAATATTCTTGGCTAATATCCAGCCTACGCTCCAGTCCATGAAAGAAACTGTCCATCTTCTGTCAGCTAACTGAGCTCCAAGTGTGAAGTATGCCTTCAGCTCCAACTCTCCAATTCTTCAACTGCCTCAGTGGTTAAAGAGCTTCAAATCAGGGTGTCACACCTTCAGGGAATAAGACATTTTTAACTCTTGTTCTTATATACACTATTTGACAAACTGGCTCTAGAAATTTTTGTGCAAGTATGAAAGATTGCTGAGGAGGCAGCTTTGCCGTGCATGGGGTAGCATTAAGGCATCCTTCTTCCTTCCATCTCCGTTCACACCACATAGTCCCATTCCCATTCAAATAACGGGTACATAAGCAATTCAGTAGTTAACGCTGACTGACCAGCTTACCAGACTTCACAGACACTATCCCAGATAAGGGAAGGGCAGAAGGTCTGCCAGATGAGAGTGACTGTGTCCTGCTACACACCGGGAAAAACCAAGCAGTCATGACCACAGACGTGCTTTGCAAGGAAAAACCAAAGTCATGACCACAGACGTGCTTTGCAACTACACAGTACAAAAAAATTTTGCAAGGATAACAACAACCGGGACAGAAACCCAGCGTGTGCTTGGCCCAGTTGTTCAACCATTCTGTATATAGAGGATGTTTTTATTTATGGAATCGGCATATGCTCTCATGTCAACTTCAGAGCTATAGGCATTGCATGACAAAGACTGATGTCCTGTAACTCAGTCATCTTTGGTAACAAGAGACAACAGGACTTTCATTTGGGTTGTGGCTCTACTCTATAAGGGAGTTTACTACCTGGTAAGTTAAATCTACCTACCTTTACACAGCTTTTTCTCCTTCTAAAAGGGAACGCGGCTCTCACAGAAGCTTTTCACTCAAAGAGCACTTGTGCTTCCAAAGAGGTATCTTTAACTGCTGCAGAGCTGGGCACAAGAACCATCCCAGACAGGGCTGTTCCCATCATAGAGGTGGAGCATTTTACATAACCACACCTACCTTTTTGTGCTCCTGAAGTTAACTTGGTACCCAGGTATGGTTGGAGGCCTGCGAGGTGCTGGGATAGCTGGGAGTAGACAGCATGGGTTCAAAATTAAAGTCCAGTCCTTCTCCATCCATCAGTTCACTGTTGATTATGTAATCCATATCACATTCAAGGTTCTCCATGTACATGTCAATGTCCAGGTCAATGGGCAGCCTGTCCTGGTTCAATCCCAAGGGAGCAGGGCTAGCAGAAGAAAGCAGCAGTGGACTGCCCAGCTGGACCGACTGGGCAGTTGTTGCAGAAACTGGAGCCTTCAAACTGGTGATGCTGGCAGTGTTTTGAGGAGATGTTACTATGGGAAGCGTTGATGGCAAAACATTGGCACCGACTGGTTCTGACTGCTGCTCTGTAGGCTTTCCTCGTGGATTGCCCGAGCTCATCTTACTCTGGGTGGCTTGTCCACCTAGAAGCAGAAGAGTTCGGCTGTTCATCCTGTTACCAGTCTGCGGGAGAACTGGATCCACCTGAGTCATCATAACATCCCTTGGAGGTGGAGAGCTGGGTGTCAGAAGAGCTTCCAAGGTCTGAGGGGCAGAGAAATGGCTGACAGAACTTTGCAGTGAGATATCAACAGGGTTAAACAGGGAATTGCCAAATGTAGTGGTCTGACCAGCTGCATTTGGGCTCCGCAAGGAAAAGCTGGAATCTCTCTGGATCTGACCACTTGAGGCAGATTGCTGGGTAGATAACACAGATGTGCTGGGAGACATCAAATTCAACCCATCAATGAGCTCAAGCTCCTCAGTCACAGTTGGTGGAACATTACTGGACGCACTGGAGTACACTAGAGAAGGAAGCAGTTCTTCTTCGTGGAGGTCATCCTGCTCTGTCAGGATAGGAGAAAGCCTGGCACTAATAGTGCTTGCGTTGGAACTGGTTCGAGGCCGAAAGGTGTTCCACACATCAGAGTCCTCATTGCTTCTTGAGGACGGGCTCCCAGGCCACTTCGGGAATTGGGAACCAGGACTGTCAGCAGTGGATTCTGGAGCAGACTGGAGAGGCAGCTTCTTTTTGGATGCTTTACCTCTGACTTTTGCAAGTTTGCTGCTGTTGTCCATGGAGGCAGCTCTTCTTCTTGGTGCTTTTCCACTTTTCCCACCCTCAGGATTGAGCATCCACCAAGAGCTCTTCCCTGTGGCTTCATTATGAACTTTAACAAACTTGCTGTGCAGGGACAGATTATGTCTAATAGAGTTCTGAAAAAAAAAACAAAAACACCAAGATATGAGGACCTGACAGTTGACACACCTCCCACCTATAAACCTCACAAGCATAAACGCATTCAGACAGTATCCAGAGAAAAAAGTTATAACAAAGACCTATCCATAAACCCCTGCTATTTCTGCTTGAACATGCTTGACAGCACTGGCAAGCAGTGCCATGTCTCCCTGCAGCACCAACGGTGAAACTACCATGACAACTAGCAGCTTCCAACTAGCAAAATAATAACACAAAAGAACCTTCCAAGACCATACAGAACCTGCAAAAACAAAGCATACCACAGCGCAAGTAAGCAAATTCCCAAGTACAGCTTGCAACTTCAACATGAGCGCAGCATAGCAGTGACTCAAACAAGACTGGGTAAAGAGAAATGGCAAAACACTTCTAATTTGGTACACCCATTACCAGGTTCATCCCAAAAGCAGAGAAACAAGAGAGGAACTTTGTGGAACATGAGTCCTAGTAACACTGGAGCCTGCCAGGCAGCAATATGCTTTCCTCTGTGTGTGTTTCTAAGGGGATAAGATGTTCGGCGGATAGTACACTCCCACACAGTACATGTCAGTTCCAGCCTCTCCCATCTTTCCATTTGGCAAGGCACACATTCCTTGTCCCTCCGAAATCCCTTCTTTTGGTTTAGCTTTGCTGGAAACTGCAAGCTAACGTATCTGTACGCCACCATCAAATGGAATTTTCATCCTACAATTGATAAACTTCACAGTATTTTAGATTCAGCAAGCAATAAACTCATTGTTTGAGCAGATCTCCCATAAACTCCCCTGGAGGCCTGTGTCATCCATTTGTTTGATATTTGCATTTAATTTGCTCAGATGGTCAAATTACACACTAAAAAGTGCTACCCCGGTAGCATAACAGCGGTCCATCTTTTTCATATGAACTAAAGGGTTCAGCA